TTACTTTTTTTAAAAAAATCTTATTTTTTTAAAAAAAATTAACTCCTTAAATGTGAAATGAAATAGGGAGGGAGTTGTGTGGGATCCTCACAGGCAACCAGGGACTGTTTGCTCCATCTTGCGGTCAGAAATGCACAAATACCCCCCCCCAGTTGGGTCCAGTTTCACACACTGGTCGAAAGACAGAGCACCTCTTTGCTCTGCAGTGGGTCAAGCAAGCTTTGTGGGTTTCACAGATCCCTTCACCCAGCTGAATAAAAGGAGAGCCAAATGCCAGCATTTAAGGGAGTGGAAAGTGTCTGGGGGGGGGAGAGACTTCCAATTCCTGCAAATACTTTGGTTAAACCCAAAGAGCCCCTTCTTCCAAAGTTTGTGCTGAAGGTCTCCCGATGAGACAAGAGCAAAAAATAAACCCATAATTGATCCCCATCCATTCAGTGCCTCCATGAGTGAAAGGAAAGAGAAGAAGGGAGCGCCCAAATGTCCCAGCGTGAAAGAATTGAGCCCAATTAGATTTCCCAGGCCAGAATTAGTCAAAGTTACCTCCAGGACTCTACGCAGGGGGTTACCTTATCGTACAAGGACCACCTCTTGGGGGCTCTCCTAGATTGTGCAGAACAACGAACAGTGTTCAGGAGCTCACCTTCACATACTAGCCAACCGTTGGATGCTTCTCACCCACCACTTTGCCCCTTCCCTCCCTCCATGAAGTGTATATTCATCTCCCTAGGAAGGGAGCTGAAGAATCCTTTCTCTAGTCCCAGGCAAAGAGCAGGGGCCCCTCAAATCTACCGCAGAAGGCTAAGGCAGCATTCCACACCTTTTTCAAGAGAGAGACTCTGATTTTTGTTCCCCATGGCCCCATTTTGTTGCCTTTTTAGCAGAAACATGGAACGCCACTTTGCCCTGTTTGGAAACCCATTAAATAAAGCACCCTTGGGCAAAATAGGCGCCGTAGCGTAACATCGCTACAGCGGCATTTCCAAAACAGAGAAGCAGCCCTTACTTGGTGTAAAAAGCTACGAATTTCAGTTCCTCTAAGTCCCCACGAATGATCACATCATCAAATCCTTCTCCGTGGCCTGGAAGGGGAGGAAAAAAGAGAAAAGTCTATGTAGGAAGATTTCGTCATGCGATGCATGTACCCATCATGCTAAATAAAAAAATTATTTTTTAAAGGAATTAACCATACCCTGAAGCTTGCAAAAACAAACAAATATAGATGGAGGCTTGAACACACACAAGGAGAGAAGTTCATTGAGCATTGCCTGTTTCATGTTTTGCTGTGTTCCCTGGTCCACATTATTTTCCTGAGTTTTTCTAGTAGCAGCCATCCCAAAATAGCAGAGAGACGGGCCTATTTCTGATCCATATTAATAGGACCCATGCACTGTCAAAAACTGTTCTGTCCTATTTCTGCTTTTTAAAACAGCTGCCCTTCCCTACTTCCATTCAGGAGAGGCATGTATAAACTTATTCTATTGCATTTATACAATAAGTATTACGTGCCTATTTCATTCTAAAAGTAAAAAAGAAGTATTTGAATAAGAGCTGCATCACTAAAGGAGTCATGCTTCGTTTTCATGTTTTGCTTCGCTTTGCTTTTGAAAATATGTGCTGAAACAAATACAGCTCCCTCTGGGAATGCTGTCCATGGATGGCCAGTGTGGTACAGAGGCTCCAGCGTTGACCTGTGATTCAGGAAAGACCATGATTCAAGTCATAGCTGGGCCTTGAAGCCCCCTCCCCCGGCAGTCTTTGGCCAACACAATCTGATCCATGTCGCAAGGTGGTCGTGAAGGCAAAGCCAGGGAAGTCAAAGAGATCCATAAACGTCAACCTTGAACCCACGGAAGGTGTCATAGAAATGCATCCAAGAAATAAAGAATAAGGGTTTCCTGGTCTGATCAGACTGCAAAGGGGGTGGTCCGTCTTCTCTTACCTGCGTAGCGGATGCTCTTCCCAAACATCGCTGTCCAGAGGTAAGGGACCGTGCTGATTTCAGTCCCATGGGCTAACATATTGAGCGCCGCAATGCGTCCTGGAAAGTGAGGCGGGCGGGTAAAGAGAAGCAGAAGCAATAACTGTCGGGAGCTTTAGCAACCTCGCATGCTCCTTCTAGTAGATCCGGCTGGGAGGGACCTTTAGGGGCTGGGGTGACTGTCAATCACTAACAGCACTAACCAATAGCCCCTTCCCTGCCTCTGAATTCAAAGAGAGCCCCGCCTCTTTGCTCTGTTTCTCCCTTTCTGTTGTCTATGGGAAGCAACGAGTCTGTTGAGGCCAGTTGCTGAAAAACAAGTTTTCTTTTTAGCTTGCGGTTATCTGTTCACCGTAAGCAAATGAAAAGTTTTATTCTTTCTACTATCAGTGTGTTATTGAGACTGTAAGTGACAGTTGATGGGTAAAAGAGGTGAACTAATCTGGGGGATCTGATGCTATTCTGTTCTGCAGATTCCTGCATTTTGGCTACGCAGCTAAAGGAATTTAACCAAAGTTCAAAACTCTGCAACAATAACTAAGAGCACAAGTCAAGTTTCTTGTATCTAATACAAGTTAAGTAGTTTTTTCTGGTAAACCAAACTTAAGTTACTCTCTCCCTATTTCTTTCTTTTGGGTAAGGAAGCCATAGTAAAATCTTATTTTTAGAACCACACACTAGCAAGAAAGCTGCTCCTTGTTTTGTGTATTGCTTCATGTTTTCCTGTGACTTTTCACAGGCATGTTAAAGTATTTTTATAGGTCTTTGGATCAGAATTTTTTTTAAATTTTACTCCTTATTTTTATTTATTTTATTTATTTATTTATTGTATTTATACCCTGCCTATCTAGTCATTTCAACCACTCTAGACCACAATTTTACTCCTTGCTCTTATCTTATCTTCTTAAAGTAATGCGGATCAGAATTTTTTTCAAATTTTACTCTTTGCTCTTATCTTATCTTCTTAAAGTAATGATGAATCAACCACAGTTTAACAAGTACAGTAGAACCCTCATCTCTGAGGGAAATTGGTTCTAAGCCCCTCCCCGCAGATCCTGAAAACTGTGAATGACAGCAAACGCTCTGCATGGTCAAAGAAAAAAATCAAGGGGAAAAAAAAGATTTTCACCATGTAGTACCAGAACCCACCATTAGATGGAGCCAGACATTATGCTGTGTACTCTTCAACAACAATACATGGTCTCTGCATCCCTCTAGTGGCCAGTTCTGGTAAATACATTGTGAAAATACTATTTCTATTTTTAGTCTTTAAATATTTTTAAGATTTTCAGACATCGGCTAAGTGGAGCCACAGATACCAACCCCACAGATACGAGGGTCCTACTGTTGTGCAACAAGACACTAAGTTTTGTTAATGCATTAATTTTGGGGCCTTTGTACTGAGTTAAATAATGAATTGCTTGCAAAAAGTAACTTTCTACTCAGTGCTTGCACTTTGCAAAGTGCCCCAGTCCAAACTGGAGGCTCACAACCAAGAAAGACTGACCTCTAACAGCTCCCACCTCGAAGGTCATGCATGACCAGAGCAGATCTACAGCCGTGTGAGCATCAGAGGGCAGCTGGGTCCTTGCTGTCCAGGAACCGACCCATGTGCTACAGGCTGTTTCCTTACCCTTTCCTAGGGAGACAATTTGCAAAACCGGGAAAGACCCCCAGCCAGCATACCCTCTGCTCTTTCTGAGGGCTGTTTTCCAGCCTCTTACCCTGCATGTGAGCCATCTGCCAATGTGGGATGTTCACCTTCTTGTTATTCCTCAGTGCCAGTGGAAATGCAACAGCGTCCCCAGCTGCAAAAATGCCTGGAACACTGGCCTGCATCATCTGGAAGAAAGGAAAAAGACCCCAGTCAGATCTGGAAGAACCAAAGCTAGGGAAGGGGCTGGTATATCCACTGGGGGGGGGTGTCACCTCTTCTTTTTTGTGATTCACCTTCCCTAATTTCTGTTGTTATGGGTTCCAAATTCAGATCCCTTCCTTTTAAGAGCTTGGGGCATGCTCCTTTCTGACCACAACTATAAAAAATAAATAAATTCTAAGAATCCACTAGCTATTTTAGCCACAGGGCTTGATGCTTAAGGACTGGGGGCTCTACAATGCAAAAACAGACAACAGGACCACTCCGACCCCGTATCCATGGGATCCATATCCACTGATTCACTTAATGACAGTCTGAAAATATTTAAAATGTTAAAAGAAAAATTCTCAGAAAAAATGTTATTCTAATGATGAAGCTACCAGACCCGGCCACTAGAGGGAGCAAATGACAGTCTGAAAATATTTAAAATGTTAAAAGAAAAATTCTCAGAAAAAAATGTTATTCTAATGATGAAGCTACCAGACCCGGCCACTAGAGGGAGCAAGAAACCATGCACTGTAGAGCATTTAAAATTACAGTGGTGCCCCGCATAACGAGTGGAGCATTTACTATTACAGTGGTGCCCCGCATAACGAGTGATTCATTTAATGACAAATCCGCATAGCGATGTTTTTTGGGGGGAAATGGGAAAACATTGCTTTGCGATGATTGTTTTTTTGGGGGGAAATGGGAAAACATTGCTTTGCGATGATTGGTAAGCGTTTCGCTTACCGACCATCACATAACGATGTTTTTTAAACAGCTGATCGGCGGTTCCAAAATGGCCACTGGGTAAAGAAAATGGCCGCCTGCAGTGTTTTTGCGCCCTTTCCTCGCTTACCGGGCAGCGAAAATGGCAGCTGCATGGAGGATTTTCACAGAACAGTGAGTTTTTTGCCCATAGGAACACATTAAACGTGTTTTAGTACGTTCCTATGGGCTTTTTTGCCCCGCATAGCGACGAATCCGTATAGCGGCGATTTTTTCAGAACGGATTATCGTCGCTATGCAGGGCAACACTGTAAAATAAGGTTTGCTAGAATTCGCATTTTTCAGCATCCGAGGGAAGCTGAAATGGTGGTTCCTGCCTCACCTGGATTTCAGTCTGTGTTTCAGAGCAATAAAAGGAAGTTGGCAGCCTTCGAAACCCACCAAACCTAGAATGGGCTTACCTTGTTCACCACAATGAAACCTTTGGAGTCGATGTGAATGCCGCTCTGTTTCAGGAAACCTGTCGCTGGAGTTGCTCCTGTATCGAAAGTAAAGGTAATATTATTTGTAGAGAAGACCGTGCAGAGATCTCATCCTCTAGCCAGTTTGGCTCCGAGTTCCAAACACAACACACACCCCTATTAATAATGCCTGGACCTTCACCTCTCCTATCCGTTTGCAAGGCTCAGTGGCTCAACTCTGGAGCGTTTGCCTTCTGAACACGTCACATTTGCTCTAAAGAGAAGGCTGGAGCACCCCCTGATTTGCTTCCATCCTTCAAGAATGCCCCGCATGGCACAATTTTTACATAACAGGCGGTGCCCCACCCACCCTTCAAATAATATCCGGAGCCCACTGGTCTCACGTTTTGCTCTCCTGAAACCCCAGGGAAATGCGCGCCATCCTGACCCTGATCCAGCCCCGAGTCAGACTTTTTGGGGGTCCAGCTGTAAGGCTCCTACTTTTGGGAGTGGGCTCCGGCGATTCCCTGACAGACAGAAGGGTCTCTTTAAGAGCCATCGCTCCCTGAAAAGGGACACTTTTTGATGGGACCGGAGACGTCCCTTTATCACCCCCTGAACCCCATCCTGTGTTTTTGGCAAAGCAAGGTGGTGTCAGGACGCATCTTGTTTTAGAGAAGAGGGGTACACCTCCCCTGGAGAAATGATCCCCAGCCCTTTTCAGTCATCATTGCCATCCTCTGAGAGCTGCATCATCCTCTGGATCATCCCGTCCAGCCCCTGTCAAGGAAGCCCAGAGGGGGAATTGAACCCCCAACTTCTGGCTGCACAGCCCAGAGACCCTGGAGCCCCTCTCCAGCAGTTTTCAAAGCTTCTTCTTGTAGAACAGAGCATGGTGGCACAGGGGTGGGGGTGTTTCCATGCTTAGGAGACACCCCCATGTCGGAGGAAGCCCTTGGCCCCATGGTTCCATGGGGCATGCTCCCAGGCCAGCGCATCCCTCCCAATGAGCCTGAACGTTTACCGATGCCAATGACGCAAACGTCCGCCCGGAGAACTTTGCCGCTCTTCAGAACAACCTCCTTCAGCTTGAAGGGAGAGGAAAAATGGAAGGAAACAGAGAATCGTTGGTTAAAGAAGGCTCAACCTCCAATTATGTCCTATTCTTACTCCCTTCTCTTTCCTTCGGGCCCGTGCGCTTCCCGTGGAGTGCAGCGTGGATGGAAAGGGCGTTGTAGGGACATGGAGATCTGCCTGCTGATGATGATCTGGTTGAGTCCATGAAGGCATGAAGGGCTCATCATGAGCCTTCGGACGCTTTCCTTGCCCTGCCCGGAGACCCCCGGCCTTTCCTGGTGGGCCTCCCATCGGAGGACTCCCCAGAACCAGCCTTGCTGAGCTTCCAAAGCCCAACACAGTCAAGGTTGCCCGGGTCAGCGTGGTGGGCCAACTCTGACTCTCATTTCCACCTCCCTTTCCTGCCCTCCTCCCATCTCACCAGCCAGCCCCAGCTGTGGTCCGTGGGGGTGACCTTTGAGTGCTCCTAGAGCTGATTGTCCAGGATCAGTTTCAACCATGAACATGGACCAGACACCACTCAAGGATGATGTAATTAGGAAGGGGACATGGCCCTCTTAGAGCTCCCGAATTGGGACCGCCAGTAAGGTAAATTCAGCTCCAGTGTCTGAGGCACCCTCACCCTGCTGGTCTCCTGCCCATGGGGCTAGCAAGGTGGCCATATACGCAAGGCCATCAGGTCCAGAGATGCCAAGATGTCAAGGTCCTTTATTTCAGAGGGACCACTGGATTTTGGGGATGGGTTGTGAAAAGCTGCCCTAATGCAACTTTTTCTCTTTCCGTGTTTTTTGGTCAAGTCCCCATGATGCTTAAAGGATGGCTGCCTTCAGGGTGACTGGCCATACTTTACCTTTCCCTCCTGTTCCCGTAGTTCTGATACTTCTGTCTGCATGTAGAATTTCACCCAGTTGTTTTCAAACATCTGCCCAGGAACAGAGAAAGACAAAGAGAAAGAGAGAGGGAGGGATGTTTTTATGTTGGAACTGGCTCATTCACAACACGGTCAGTCACCCTAGAGATTCCAATTCCAGGAGAGCAGAGAATCCACTCCAGGCCTTAGCCCAAACTGCTCAGGACCTGTCAAACCCAATCTTCAAATAAGTTCAGCACCTTGGAAAGCTCCTTCTAAAACCAGAAGCGGATTCACCGGGTCTCAGAATCGGAACCACCAGGCTGTCCCTGGTCAATCAAAGAACTAACCAACCTTCTCCGGCCCTTCCTTCGATGCCTGGTGGAAAGATGATGAAAGCTGCCCTTACCTTCATGATGGCTCGCCCAACCTTCTCCCCAAAGAACTTCTTGAACGGCACTTCCTCCAGTTCCACCACGGAGACCGAATGGGCTTTGTCGGACAGATAAGCTGCGACTTCCATCCCTGGGGGGAGGGGGGAGAAAAGTCAGAGAGACAGAAGGGAAGGTCTTGCAGAAGTTGGGACGTTGAAAAGGAGAGACAGGGCGAGCCACCTATGTGGTCTTGAGGTGCAGGGAAGGAGGCGAGACAGACCTCAAATCCCATAATTAATTAAGAGGCGTGCTTTGTCTGCCAGCCTCCTGCCTTTGAAAACAAGGGAGAGGATGGGTTGCAGAAAGGACAATACTTCCTTTAACATTTCCATCTGTAGAGATCCAGAATCTCTTCCTCTCTCTCTCTTTCTTCTCTTTTTAAAGAAGAAATCTTCTATAGTGGAAAGACCGGATGGTTTCCCAATAGCCTCAAGCCCTACGCAAGGCTTTCCCTCCCGCTCAGAGATGCTCACCCAGGAAGGAGGCTCCCACGACAACCACGTTCTTCCCAGTGGCCAGCTTGACCACCCGGTTGGCGTCTTCCACCGTCCGGAGGGTGAACACGTTCTCCACCTCTTTTCCTTTACAGCTCAGGGTTTTCGGTCTGGAGCAAAAGGCGTGGGATCAAGAGTGAGAAGAATCGTGCCAGATTTTTCAAACCTGGCCCATGTCATAAAATCCTGCCCTCTGAAGAGCGACGTCAAAATCTGACATTCGGCCTGATCCTGTCTGCCCAAAATCCTTCAGAGCCTCCCAGATGTTCAAAACATGCGGAATACCTTCCTGGCATCCCAATATCTCCTTTTAAGAGTGCACGGGAAGCCCTCGGAAGGGTGCTGGGCCATCCTTGGTTGGGGGTTTTAAGGATTCGATGCCCTTTGGCAGAGATGCTTTGGTGGGGTGGGCTAGATGACCTCTGTGGTCCTTCCTCCTTCTACCGTTCTAGGATTCTCCCGCCTCTCTCGACTGCAGGGGTAAAAATATCCCACCCACCCCCTTGTCGCTTACGTGTTCCCGGTGGCAAGCAGCAACTTGTTATACTCCATCTTGAACCCATCCTTGAAGAGGGCCGTCTTGTTCTTCACGTCGATGGCCACAACCTGAAAGGAGGTCCAAAGATCATGAACCTATGGGGATGCCTGTGGGGGCACTGAAATGGGCCAGAGTGGGGGCTGCCCGGACAGCTTTCCCTTTCCTCTGACTTCACAGTCGGACCTTGAGCAGGGGGTTGGACTGGATGGCCTTTGGGGGCCCCTCCGGACTCCTTGATTCTAGGAGCCCAGACAGCAGCTTTCCCTTTCCTCTGACTTCACAGTCGGACCTTGAGCAGGGGGTTGGACTGGATGGCCTTTGGGGGCCCCTCCGGACTCCTTGATTCTAGGATTCTACTCCACTTTTGTTTCCTCCGCAGCCAGGTATCCCAACCCCTGGGCGATCTATCCAGCTATTCCACTACATGCTGAACAACACGATCGGTGTGACCCATACACAGGCCTCTTTGCAGAAATCCTGTGAGACCCGGCGCCAGCTAGAAACGGGCAGAGAGGGGCCCCGAGGCTTTCAAGCCACCTCACGCACTGAAATGAAATGTTCTCTCCCTCGGGGGCTACCTGACTTGTGGGGTTATCTCCCTGCCTGGAGGTTTGGGAAAGTACCGCGGTCTCTCGGAAATGCCCGCCACTGCTCTGAAACACGGCAGCCCTAAATAAGACATAGGAGAAAAACCAGCCCAGGGTGGCCTTAAATTACTCCCAGTTTCTTACGGTTAAGCTACCCATATATCAGACAAACACAGGAGAAGCAATGTTTTAAGGCTCCGCCGTGATCCGCTTGGTTTACTGGATGGCCAATCAATCTTTCAGCAGCCAAAGCACCATCAGGAGACGCTCAGCAATGATGGTAAAGAACGCACGCTCTGCAGCACATGAATGTCGGTGCTGTGGCAGCCGGGAAAGCCACAGCTGTGGTCAAAAGCATGGTCTACATGTGGCATGAATGCTTAGTGGTAAACAGCCATTGCAGGTTTTGCAGCTGCTTTAAAAACCTGCAAAACCTGTTTGGCCAGAGACAGAGAGAGGCAGAAGAAGGGTGCGTGTACACCTTCTACGAGGGTCATAACCATGCTCCTCTCACACCGAGGTCCATTCTCCCGCATGCTCCTCCTAACCCACAGGAATGGCATGCTTCCATCTAGCTTGGTTGAAATCCCTCTGAAATGTTGGGAAGGGAACATGGTGGAAGGACAAGGTCATATGGGCTACCTGCCGACAGGAGGTATCAAGGGTGGAACTTGGCGCAACATCTGGGTTTCTCTCTCTCTCTCTCTTTGGCTTGGTCATGCATTAAAGCATGACCGGAGATGGCTCTGGCTTCATTATCTACCACCTCCACCTCTCCTGTGGGCCACACCACTGGCTCTTTCCCATTTCCCCAGAAATAATCGGAACATCATTTTTAGTGTATCCAAAATGTATGGGTTTTTTGGAAAGCTAAAGCCAGGTGCTTGGTGGGGCTCGTTTTAGAGGGAAATCAAATCTCCGGGAGAACTTCTGGATCCATAACTCCACTTTTTCCGCCAATTGGCTTTCTCGGGATTGCCTTAACTGTACAGTGTGCTGTGATTGCCGCTCCTCCCATGAACGCAGAAAGGGGGGGGGGGAGAATTACCTGCATTTCCGTCAGGACCTCGATGTCGTACGTCCGGAAGAACTCCTTGGGGCGCAAAGCAATCTGGTCCGCGTGAGACTCCATGGACTGAAACGAGAAGCTTGATGCTCTGGCCAGTCGTTCTACTATGCAAGGAAGACCCCAAAGGAAGCAGAGGCTGACCCCCCACCCCCCCACCCCCCCCCCAGGGCTGGGCCAGCCATACAGCAAGGGAGAAGCCACCCCACTTGGGTGGCGCCATTGAGAGGAAGGAGACCAGGAGGTCCAGATAAGGGCAAGGGCTGGTTCTCGGATCGGTGCCATGGAGAAGGTCAAAGGGGCAGCTTTAGCCGGACTCTGGGAGGCAGTTTGCAGGGACTCTGGGAGGGCAGAGAGCAACCACACTGGCAAAAAAATAAATCCTGGAAATGCTACAAGGTTGGGACAGAGTTGATTCGTGTGTGTTTTTTTCTCTGTTAACCGCATGACCTAGAAGAACAAGGTGAACCAGTTCAATGATAGGATATTCTGGAAGTCACTTATTCACCCGGTCACCATAAAGCAAAGTGTGCTGTTTATATGCCATCCCATAGTGCGTAAAGCACTCTCTGGGTGGTTTACGACTTAATTGTGCAGGCTACGCACGGCACACCCACACTGTGTACTCAATTTACCAAACTTGGAAGGCTGAGCCAGCCTCGAGCCAGATACCTGAGTCCAACAGGGTCAAACTCAGGTCCTGAGCAGAGACTAGACTGCAGGACTGCAGCTTATCCGCCAAGCCAGGAGGCTGTAAGCTAAAAGTGACATGATGGCATATAACAACACCGAGAGCCATTGATAAAAAATAAAGGGAGGGTAGGAATATGAAACATAATGGAGAGTTTGAAAAGAATCGTGACTCTTTTTTTCGCACTGAAGATTCCTGTTTAATTTTCACTTGAAATAATGGCTCTCTCCCTCTTTTTTTGGTATTGAGATTTCCACTCCCAGGAAAAGGAAAGCTAGCGCTCTGGGCTGCGCCTTGCCTTCAGCCCAAAGCTTTAGGGAAACAATGGACCTGTTCAGTGGAACCAACCTTGCTTAGCTTTGGTCTGTCGTACGGCAGGTGCCGATCCATGGTGCACATCACGATCCTGTCCGAGAAACCTTCTTGCCGCAACGTTTCGGCACACACCAGCCCGGCAGGACCTGAGGAAGAAGGGGCGTGAGCCTTAACTACCTTCCAAAGACTTTTCGGATTTCTGCAACGAGGTTTTCAACCATGCATCCTCATGGAGGCTCTGAAAGCGTCCGGTCATGTGCAGGAGGGACTCGTGGGTGAGCAGACAGAGCAAAGAAGATCCTTCTGCTCGAGGTCATTAATCATCATAGCCCTGGAGACACACTCGTAGCTCACAATGATGGTTTTTCTGCCCCCCCCCTCAAAAGCTCCCTCAAAAGAGGTTCGTTCTGGGGGATTTGAAGCTGAAGCATGAATCACGTTTCCACGTTCCTTTACCCGCCGCTCCCTACCTGGTCTTTCCTACCTGCCCCGATGATGAGGACGTTGGTGCTGCTGATGCTGTAGTTGCTGAGGGAGAGACACTTGGCCATCACTTTGGTCCTCCTCTGCATCTGGAGAGCCTGCGTGCCATGGAGGAGACCACGTCAACCATTAATTGGACTCCGCACTGCTGTTTCAACATATAGCAGGGCTGGCACAAGGCCTCTGCGTCCCTAAAGTGGAAAATCCACATGGGGACTGCCATGCCCACGGACCCAGACAGTACCTCATGGGTCACCCAGCAGAGCTTGAGGGCTTCGACACCAGAGGAGGGACAGATCTGCTCTGCATTTCAGCATCTATGGGTCTTTCCAGACTGGTTGTTTGGGGTGTGGGGTGGACTGGGTTACAAAGGGTTTGTTGAGGTGGGAGGGGTAGCGATGTGCCAATTGGCATATTCCTCCCATCTGAACAGCAAAACGACTCTTTGTAGACCGATCAACTTGGAATTAAGTGCTTCCCCTGATCCTCTGCAGAAACTCTTTGTAGCCCGATCAACTCGGAATTAAGCGCTTCCCCTGATCCTCTGCAGAGGGTCAGAGGAAGTGAAAGGTGGTTGTTTTGTTTTTTACATCACTCCTCTCTCCCTCTGTTGGTGTTGTTCCATTTTCTCCCTTCCTCCCTCCTTCCTTCCCTTCCCTCCTTCCTTCCTCGCTTTCTCTCACACAATGGCATTGGGAAGCTGAGCTGCTCGAGGCTGCTAGCTCCTGGTGCATTGAGCATGCCAAAAAGAATGCATGCCGTACTGCCAGGCCAGAGAGGTGTACAGCAGTCTTAAAGGAGAAAGATGGATTATTCCAGGTAGAAACACTTGCGGATCAGGGGTTTCCCGTCCCCCAAATCCAAACCGTGCCATCAGTGATCCATATATCGTATCTGGATGCCAGTGTGGACAGGCCCTGTGTTGCAGGAACTGTCCAGGGTGCTGAAAGCCTAGAGGGTGGTGTCCCCCCCCCCCAAAGCAGTTTCAGCATCTTGGAGAGTTGCTTCCAAAAGTTGCAGGAGCAGAGCTGATCCTAGAATCATCCCAGGCAGGGGAGCTGAGGATGCTGACCCCTGAGAGAGGCCCCAAAAGAGGCAACAAGGAATCAGGCCTGCTCAGCAGTCGCTACAGAACCCATGACTACCTAAGATCCACCTGGCCCCTTCGCTGGCGACCTCAAAGAAGTTGTGAAAAACATGGCTGTTTTGCTAGGCTTTTCAAGCTATCCCACCTACCGAGACCTCTGAAACCAGTAGCCTCTAATGTGATCGGCTACCACCCTTTTAAACAGTACATATAGTTTTAAAATTTGACTGCTTATTTTAATTTCATGTCTGTTTCGAAGTTGAGTTCTGTCTTTTTATATTTTTTTCCTTAATGTTGTAAACCACCAAGAATGGCCTTTGGCAAACTGGATGGTTATTAAAATAATTAATTAATTAATTCTTGTCCAAGTGCCTCTCGCCCTTCCCAACTCAACCTCCTCGTTGAAAGAACAGGCCCCGATTCCAAGTCCAGCTAAACACAACAGAGCATTTCCTGATGATAATGGTTGTTCCGTGGTGGAACAGACTGTCTCAGGACACGTTGGGCTTTGTTTTGGCAATAGCAATAGCAGCGAAGTAGAGGAACTCACAAATGCCATCGCGCCCTTGGCCGTAAGGGTTTTTATTTCTGAATCATTTTAGGGTCACCCTGTAGGACTTCAGAATGGGATCCCAATGATCATCTCACCTGTTTGCTTGCTCGAATGTACACCTTCTCCTTCTCAATTTTCACCTAGGGTCAAAAATTAGTTTTAAATATCACGACCATGAGTTACACCCCAATTGTCTCCACCACCACCACCCCATTAAAATGTGCATTAAATCATGAAAAGCTATTTTCAGTGCCAGCAACTCTCAAGTCCTGGCCTTCCGCAAAAAAAATAATTGGTCCTTAGGTGTAAATCTGGAGGAAGATGAAGGAGCCACCTCTTCATAAATGCCTGGCATCGGTATGCATGCATCTGGAACCCCAGCCAAGAACCAAAATGAGAGAGGAAAGGATGTTCCTACCAAAGGTTCCCCCACTAACAAAGCCCTGTTGTGCCAATGGGAAGAGTGTCCTCTGATAAAATCTCAGAGAAATTTCATCAGGAGCCACACAAGTCTCATCCAAACTAGCCAAATGTCTCCCAATGGACCTGAAATGGAAGTATTTTATGCCTTTAAGTAATTCCTTGTTGGGAAGTTACAGGGGACAGGCTGGGTCCAAAGAGTGGCACATCGGGACCTCTGCCAGCTCTCAAGACCGATAAAAGATAACACACTGCCAAGGGCCATCGAGTTGATGACACAGTTCACACTCTGTTAGAAGCAGCGCTCTTTTGGAAGTGAAAGACTGCATGGTCTAACTTGAGCTTGCCACAAGCCCCAATTTGGAGATAAGCTTGCTTTTGCTTTCTGGCTGCATGTCAGGGAGATAAGCATGGACTTCCTTGGCTTCTCTGATTATCTCTGGTGCAACCGCTCTGCAGGATTCCCATCTCTAAAGAAAAAACATGGTATGCATTTCTCTTCATGTGTCATTTGACCCTTACTAGTTTTGTACACAATAAAGTCAGCAGGGCAGCATTCTCTACTTGTATCCAGGAACCCCACTAAAGGTGACAGCTGGAAGGGCTTTAGAAGGTTCTCTGGGCACAGAAAAGATAGACAATGTCATCCTCTTTGATTATCAGGTTAACTCTAGAGGCCTCACCTGAAATTTTGGCAGGCTGTCCAAACCCGGGAAGTCCTCTATGTCCCCCGTGGCAATGTTGAAACAAGCCCCATGCCAGGGGCACCTCACTCGTCCTTTGGACAACACCCCTGCGGAGGATTTCAGAGATGGCGCCAGAATATACATTTGGTCTGTCCATTCAAAACTGTCTGCGCTAACTTCTAAGCAACATCAGGACCAGAGAGGGACTAACAGAGAGGACCAAACATCGTTCATAACCAGGTGGTTGGTCATCCACCCAGTTAGAAATGAAATCCTTCATTTTTGTGCTAACACAGCCTGAGAAAAGGAAGGAAGCATCTTTAGCTCATTAATGGGTCTTCACATCAAGGCTCCAAAATTTAACTCTACACTTGAAAATCATGGAGTCCTAGAATCATGAAGTTGGAAGGGCCCTTCTAAGGCCATCAAGTCCAACCCCTTGCTCAGGGCAAGAATACAAATCAAAAGAGATCTGCCAGTTGGTGGTCCAGATTTTTCTTGAATGCTTCGAGTGCAGGAACACTCACCACCTCCCGGGGTAATCAACGTGGGTTGTTGTACAACTCGATGAGAATTCAGCAGATCTCATTTTATTCATTTTTAATCCTGCACATAGATTAAGGGCTCGAAAATATTGCTTAAAAACAACAACTACAAATCATAATCCTCCAGCCAGCGTTGCTTGGATTCTGAGATTTGGAGGGTTTTTTTTTTTAAGTGTTTGCCAGCTCTGGTCACTCTTTATAATTCCATTCACAGCTAACGAAAGTTTTGCTCATCAGACACCCCTCTGGTTTCATAAGCATCGCTGCTTACTCACTTCCAAGCATATCTAGACAGGCATAAGGGCTAAAAACCCATCATCCTCTCTTAAAAATCCCAGGAAACAACAACCTGCCCCTCAAACTACAGAAAGCCACTTCTGCAGACATCGCCACGTTCCTACAATTAACAGACAGACAACGATGGATGGACAAACTGACCTTTCACCAGAGGGGCACCATAATGCGGGCACTTGTACCCTGTGGCGTAAAATTCCCCGTTCTCTTTCACCAGCAGCGCCTTTCCGCAGCCCAAATCTACCTCGCGCATCCTAGGAAAACATTGTATTTCTTTGTTTATTCATCTATTTGCCCCCAAGGTGAGTCACAACAATTAAAACTATACAATGCTTACAGAATACCATTTAAAAACTAAATTTAAAATAATTAAACATCAGCAAATATTCAAATGAAGATTTTTAAGTGGTGTTAAAACATTTTTAAAAATCATCTAAATATTTCTAAATTTAATAAATACAACCATCTCTGAACACCTCCACCCCACCCCCAACTTATTGCTTAAAAGCCAGCCTTAAAAAGGAAGGTCTTTACCAATAAGGATTTTCTTATTTTAAAAAAAAACGAGTTTAACATCTTCTCAAAACAACATTGACTTCTTTATCTACATTAAAGTCTACAATGGTGACTTCTATACTGGTGTAATTTAATTAGGGAAGATGGCACATAAGCCAAACTCTGCTCCTGGAACATGAGTTAAACATGTAAAATAACAAGAGTATGGAAATGCCTTATTTAAAAAAAACGCTATAAACTCCAGCACCATTTAGCCAGCCTAGTCACTGATGAGAGGGCTGTGGAATTCTACAAATTATAGCCTAATCATTTCCAAGCTCTGATAATAACTATGGCTCGAGTGCATTGCTTACATCTGCAGAAAGGAGAGGACATTTTGGGCAAGAAGCCATATTCTGTAATTTTTAAATGCCTGGTGGTACTTTCAACTCCGATGTTGTCCCTTTCATGGCCCAGAAGCGGTGGGAGCCATGGGCCAGAAGGAGGAAGTCTTTACTAAGTGAAATTCCCCCCCCAGCCCACAATGTCATCATCCCTCTGCAAGCATTGAGGTTATGCCACAGGATTTGGGCCATGGAGGGTCAGAGAATGGGAAAGGGTTAGATCCATGGACAATCAGGCTCAAGGACAAGGGGGAGGCATGGTGCGCGTCTTCTGCAAGCTACGAGCCAAAGCAAGAGTATGGACCTGTGATGATGATTCATCAAGGTAAACAAGAACAAGTCTTGTTTAATTAACAGGTCCTCCACTGCTTGGTCTGTTATTGGACCCCCACGTGCTCTCTCCCCTCCAAGAGGCTGGCGAATTTGCAATTCCAAGCAGGTAACTACAGAGCACACCATTTCCAGTTCAAGGAAAAAGATCCATGGGCATGCAGGGTCTCCTGACCTTCCTCCGCAGACCTTGGGCAAGCCCCCAGAGGCGCACCCGTTCGTGGCTTTGAGCCATCGTGTTGCAAAGGGGCCGCCACAAAAGCATCCTCAGGCATGCAGCCTCAGGCATGCACACCTGAGAGTATTTTTGCCTGAAGGCAAGAATGGAGGGGGAAAACGTTTTATATTAAAACACGCTTATGGATTAGAGATAATATGCCTTTCATGGATTTGTGTAAAGAACACCTAGTTTTTAAGTTTTCTTGGGGCCAAAACAGACAAGACAGCTTTTTGATTGGAGGCCAATAAATCTTTAAAACTGCTCCATTCCCAGAATCGGCAAGAAATCAAGCGAATTTGCTACTTGCAAAGCTATGAAAGACCTTAGAGGATAATCACACAGTCTTTATTATATAAGTCAGTTCTGCTTCTAACTGCAGAACACCTCACACCTCCTCTGTTTTGGGCTTGAATTTAGTGTTGACGGCAATGATACCACACTTACTGGCCATTGTCGAGGTCCTTCACATGACAAACAGAGGCTTCGACGACATCCTTCACGTTCCGGTACGGATTGATAGCAACAGGGTGCTCTTCCAGCTGGTAATGCCGCGAAGTCCCATTGGCTTTGTAGATAATTGGGCTCGCCTTCCCATTGGGGGACATCTCCTCTTTGGTCCTCTCTTTCTCCGGCAAAACAACTTCAATTTTCACTTCAACTGTGCGAGCAAACAGAAAACTTGGTTACGATGGTCTCGCAGGCCAGCAGCCCCAATTTGATTGCTCTCTGATCACTGGCAGACCCTCTCTTAAAGGATTTACCTCCACCTGCAACAGAACATTTCCTAATATTCTGGAAAAGATTCACGGTGTCTCCCCTACCCTCAAAATTTTCAAAAGGGTTTTTATTTTATTTTATTGCAAACACAGAGCAGTTTCAGGCAGAAATACACCCTGAAAGAGTTCAAACACAACGTTGGTGGAGTCTTGAGGAACAGCAAACAAGTTTAAAAGTTTGTAGCTTTTAATCGTCATCATCTTGGAATGGCATTGCTCGAAGTGACCCTGTTGGTCATCGAATTCAACCCCTGTCAATGAGGGGCTAGGTAAGTAGATGACTTCCCTTGGCATAAATATCCTTTCCTTCCAGTGATCTCCAGCTACTGAAGTTTTAGCTCTCTGGTGCCCAATCCCAAATCCTGATCCTCTTTCCGTGATTCAGAATCCATGATGCCGTGAACACATTGGAAGAAGCTGGAGTTCCTTAAGCGCCGAAAGACAACGGATTGTCTTAACACGAGTGTTTTGACCTCCCCATTTCGCAAAATCAGCCTGCTTTGTTCTGGAACTGCCCATCGGGAAGCCAATACAGGCTTTGTTTTCAAGACTGATGGTTGAGGCACAATGAAATCCCATCGGATTCTAAGAACAAGCCGATTTTATTGTCTAATTTGACCCTCATGGTTTGCAAACACTAGGAGTGGGTGTGAAGCTGGCCTAGGTTAATTAGGCTGGTCACTTATGCAACTGCCCTTACATGCACAGGAAAGATGATTTTGGCATTTGCCTCGCCTGCAATCTGCAGACTCCCATTAGCCCTGCTGGCTCTCTGGTTTCAAGAGCCATGAGCACGCTGCGTGCCACCAATTTTTGTCCTATTTCCCTTTACCTAACACATTTCACCACTGATCCTCTGATGAAGCATGCTGATCAACTCAAAAGCTCTCCTCATTTGGACATTTCTAGTGGCTTAATACAGGTAGTCCTGGAATTACTTTTATATTTCTGTTACACCTTGATTTGGGGGGAGGGGGGCTGTCATCATCATCATCATTCTTTTAGGAGATGTTTTAGATTATCTTTGGATAAGGGAAGGGGTTGTACACAGAACCCCTGGATAGCTCAGTAGCTCAACAGGACCTTATGTTTTAGGTTTCTTGGTTGTAAAACGCTCAGAGTCGCGGCACGCAACTAGATGGGCAGTATAAAAATTTAGGAAGGAAGGAAGGAAGGAAGGAAGGAAGGAAGGAAGGAAGGAAGGAAGGAAGGAAGGAAGAAATATAGAAAGAAAGAAAGAAAGAAAAAATGAAGGAAAGAAAAAATGGAGGAGAGAAAGAAAGCAAGAAAGAAAGAAAGAAAGAAAGAAAGCAAGCAAGAAAGAAAGAAATATAGAAAGAAAGAAAGAAAGAAAAAATGAAGGAAAGAAAAAATGAAGGAGAGAAAGAAAGAAAGAAAGAAAGAAAGACCAGTCCAGAACTCAGTAGAAGGTTGAGGATATGCAAAAAAATTATTTCAGCTGAGTCATGAATTGATTAAACGCAGTTGCTTAGTCAGCAAAATGTTCTGCAATCTGTTGGCAGCCCTCATTCACGAACTCTGAGATCCTCTAATTCTGTGGTCACTGAAGTTTCTTTTAATCCATTCATGTTTCGATCCAGGATGGGTGGCAAGCTGCCTAGCTTATATTTCCCATGTTCATTTTGTTTGTTGTTGTTGTTTAGTCGTTGAGTTGTGTCCGGCTCTTCGTGACCCCATGGACCAGAGCACGCCAGGCCCTCCTGTCTTCCACTGCCTCCCTTAGTTGGGTCAAATTCATTTTGTTTACTTCTTTTAAAAAAAAAAATTGGGCTAAACCGCAGAAGCCTGTGCTGCAGGGTCAGAAGACCAGCAGTCGTAAGATCGAATCCACGCGACGGAGTGAGCACCCATCCAGTCATGTTTCGATCCAGGACGGGTGGCTTATATTTCCCATGTTCATTTTGTTTATTGTTGTTGTTTAGTTGTTAAGTCGTGTCCGACTCTTCGTGACCCCACGGACCAGAGCCCTCCTGATGAGCACCGCCCCCTAAAGTCGGACAAGACTGGACAAAAATTGTCAAGGGGGGGCATAGAGGCTTCAAGGTTTTTCCATTCCTCAGCACTTCTGGGACTTATCAAAAATCCACTTCAGGGGCAGAGTGATCTCCTCAGCCAACTCTTTGAAAACATTTGGGTGCACGTAACCTGGTCCTGCAGGTTTAACAATGCTCAGTTTGGCTGGCTGCCATATCACCCAGCTGGAAGGAATATGATTGCTAAATAGAAAGGCATCATCATCCCCAGAGCGGTTTGTTGCTTCCCGGTTCAGAAGACTCAGGTTCTTCAGTACAAGGACATTTGGAAGCATTTTCCTGGGGTCTGATCCTTCACCTCTTATCCCCTTGGTTGCCCATAACTTTCCAGACCTCTTTCTTAGCCCCGACTTGATTTCCCTGGCATTTCCTGGTGATTTCCCCTCCAGGCACAAACCAGGTCTGACTCTGCTTGGCCCAGAAAGAAAACCTTAGTGGTCTACTTAGCCTAAGCTTGCAGGTTATCAGGCACAGAACGAGTGCCCGCCGGTCGTGCGTTGCATCCTGTCAAGTCGCTTTCGGCTTATATGGCAACCGACCTCCGAAATGACTGGCCTCCGAAAGGACTTTTATGCATCACCGAGGAGAAGATTTGCGCAAAGCTGCGTATAGCCGCTTTCAATGTCCAGGTGCAAACTTTAAGCCACTTTTTTCCAAAAACAGCATAAACAGAATTGCCACAGACCTAATCCAGGGCACCAGACCTGCCTGACATTTTGATGATTCTCACTGGGTGACAGAGCGATCTGGCCGCGTCAAACAACACACACCTGCCAGTCTTTGCCTCAGTCCTTGACGCAGCAAGCAGGCGCCACCATGGAAGACAAGAAGCCGCAAGGCGGTGGCCAGCTGGAAAGGCGCTGGCTGACCGTACGCGGCCACGACTACTCAGAATAGCTCAACCCCCCCCTGCAGACCCCAATCTATTAAGCACACAAGTTTGCTAACGTACCGACAGTTGCGTGACTCCCTTCTGCGCCAGGAGAACCAGCTCTGCTGTGTCTCAAAGTCCTCACGACTATGTGAGGAGCCGGGTCGCTCATGCTGAAATAGAGGAAGGAGGCCGCCAGGTCTGGACTCTGAACCTGGCACTCCAAAGGTCCGCCCTGAGCTGTAAAGTTCTGAGGAGGACCGCTCTGGAAAGTGCAGCCTTCACTTTCCCCTGGAATTGTGCGTCGGTTTGCCTACCTGTGTTCTTCAACAACAGGGTTTGATTCTGCATAATAACTCTCAAGGTGGGAGGGGAAGTCACAGCGACGACGACGTCACCCTCCGCTCGGAAGACGGGATATTTGAACTTTCGTCGTGGAATTCGCGAGGAGCAACAAAACCGGAATGAACCAAAGGCAAAATAAAATTGACCTCAACCAATCTCATCCGTTTGAACTACTTTCTGTCCCCATCCAACACAGTGTATTGGAATAAAAATTTGCCTCACATGTTGTTGATGAGGATCTTAAGAGAGACACAAGGCAAAAAAAAAAAAAAGCAATGTGATTCGGTGGTTAGGAGATTGGCCAACCTCTAAGAGCAAATCTAGAATTTCCAATGGGTTCAGGAAAACCAGGCCCACCCCATCTCTAATCTGCTGACCTTCAATAATTTGAATTTCCTCTGGGGAAAAAAGTGCTGAGGAAAAAAAAAAGCCCCCACCCAATCATTCAAATGAATGTTTTGTTTTGAAATATCTGGCTTGTATTTAATGTTCTTTGTCAGTTATAAACACACGTTTGGGATTTATAAGCCAAGAAGAGTGGAGTTGTGCATATTTTAAATATATCTTTCCTTTTCCCAATAAGCCCTTTGCAATATTAGTTTCTTTTACAGTTCACTGGGGTGTATGTTAAGACTGAAGGCAAAACTGGCGGAAGCTCATGGGTTCAATCCTGACCTTCTCCCACACGCATCTTCAACTAGAGGGGCTTTGAAAATAATAATAATAATAATAATA